CACCCTTATAAAAAGGACCGAAAAGGAGCACTAATTTAGAGAACTACCCGCATAACGAACTGCATAGTGGCTTGACGGGGGTATGAGAAGGAGTTTTGGTCGTTAGGGTTGAGAGTGACTGGAAAAGGCTTGAGGGCTTCGGTTTAGGGGTGAGGATGTTGGATTAAAAGCTTGATGTTCTTGATAAACCCTAAACCCTAAACCCCTAAACCCTAAACCCCTAAACCCCTAAACCCCTAAACTCTAAACCCTAAACCCCTAAACCCTAAACCCCCAAACCCCTAAACCCTAAACCTTTGAGGCTCTTGTAGACCGTTATGGGCTCCTGCTAGAACCCTTGTACAGTTATGGGGCCCTTACAACCAGCCACAGAGCCTGGGCCGAGACCCGGACTCGTCCCACCACCACCTGCCGGTGGCCGGGTCGTACGTGTAGGGCCACCCTTTCCAGCTGCCGTGTTGCCACTGCACTGGCTGTCACGGTTTAGGGTTTAGGGTTCCGTTTTGCCATCAAGGGCAGTAGACAGCAGCCGCAGGATGTCTGATTCGTTGCCACCCGTCTGGAGGCAAGCTTTCTTGGAGGATCATGGGGCTTAGTAAGTAAGGTTATAAGTCCCTTAACTGGGGTTATAAGTATAGATACCCTAATTATAACCTTACTTACTAAGTCCCATGATCCTCCAAGTTCAGACCGTCTAGGCGCCTCCGTGCGAGGGCCTGACCCCGAATGTTGGCCTGCTCACGAGGAGGGCCCGCACTGTTGCGCGGAGCTCTTCGGGGTTTGGCCTTTGTCAACCCTAAACCCTAAACCCTAAACCCTAAACCCTAAACCCTAAACCCTAAACCCTAAACCCTAAACCCTAAACCCTAAACCGTAAACCCTAAACCCCTAAACCGTAAAGTGTTAAGGATTCCGGGCATCCCAAGACCTGGACACTTAGTGGTGACCTTTCCGACCCCTATCGAAAAACCTTGGCACTCTTTCCTTGGGAAGGATTCAGGGGACCCTTGAAAATATAGACCTTCTCAATAAGGTCCCGTTTAAGAGAGCCATAAGGGTAGTTTTCTAAATTAGGGTCCCTTTTTAGTCTTTAGTCCCCAATATAGTACGGCACCCTTATAAAAAGGACCCCCCAAAGGGACCCTAATTTAGAGAACTGCCCATAAAGGGTTAAGAGGAGTCCCCTTTAAGGGGTCTCCCTAGTACCTGCCCAGGAATAGCCGAGGTGCAAATTCCAACCTCAGCCAGGTTTTGGGTCCCCAGTAACGGTTTAGGGTTTAGGGTTTAGGGTTAGCTATTTGTAGAGCCCCTTCCCCAGATTTGTGGGGGTACCCTACAGCAATATGTAATAAGGTTATCACATCTTCGCGGCCGAGTTCACAAGCCAAAACAAGTTGCACGCTTTCAGTTCTGATATTATCCCCAAAAGTGTACAGTATACTAAGTCAGCTACTCAAGTATATAACCCTAAAGCCTCAACGCCCCCAAGACCAAAAAGCCCTCAAGCCTCAAAGCCTAAACCCTAAAACCCCAAGTGCCCTCAAATAATCCCCACCCACCCAGAGACTCCAAAACCCCTTAATTAAGGAATATACCTTAAATTATAACAGGATCTCTAATATGATTTAAGGTATATTCCTTAATTAAGGGGTTTTGGAGTCTCTGGGCACCAAAATCCCTAAACCTAAACCCTTAAATCCTAAACCCAAAACCCTGTAGAACCCTTTAAAGGAACCTTCAAGGAACCTTATAGCACCACTTTATAGCACCCTAAACCCTAAACCCCCGAATGTTTTGGGGGTGTCCACAGGCGGCTGAGCTGCGGAAAGTCGTAGGGAAGAGCCGCTTGGCGTCGGAGTAGCTCCTCACAGCCAGAAAACCTCTGACCCACCCAGTCCAAGGCATTTTAAATAATTGAAATAATTGAAACAAATCAAAATAATTTAAATCCCCAAAGAAGCAGATGGTTTAACTCTTCAGCTCCAAGTTGGGTTTTTACGATAATCGTTTTGGGTTTTATGCAACAATAAACACTGAAAGTGACTCCCAAGGAAGGAACACCCAGCAGAGTTGCACCGCAGATGTGGTTTGGGTGCTTTCGGGCTTCAGGCTTTACCTAAACCCTTAACCCTAAAACCCTAAGCGCAAAGTCCTAAACCCTAAACCGGGGCTTTGTGGGTTCGGCTGCTCTTGTTGCATGCTGACTGCGAACAGGAAAGAAGAAACCCCTCTGCCTTAATAACGGTGCCTTAATAATTTGGACTAGGATCTTGGGTATATTATACTATATTTATACGAAAGAACCCCCAAAACCCTATTCAAATTATTTAGGCGTCTACACTAAAACCTACTTGCAAGACCCTCTTCAGAACCTTGCACTCTGCGGACCCGGCCAAGTTTGCGCCGTTTTCAGCCGATGCCCGCCGAGTGCCAGGGAGGGAAACTGTACACTGTACATGATCCTTTAGGCCCGCTTTTGCGGCTTGCCGAGGTCGTCCCAGGCTCGTTCGCAGGCGCGAGGCCTAGGCGGGAACTGCGCTGTCTTAGGGTTTAAGAGTCTACTTGGAGGATCATGGGACTTTGTAAGTAAGGTTATAAGTCCCTTAATTGGGGTTATAAGTATAGTTACCCTAATTATAACCCTACTTACTAAGTCCCATGATCCCCCAAGTAAGGTTTAGCCCGGAATTCCCGAATTCCCCGTAGGAGCCGGAACTCCCGAAAGCCCCAGGTTCTTCAACCCGAGCCGGACCATGAAAGCGCCCATCTCAACCATAATCTCTCTTCTTCAAAAACCAGGCCAAAAAAGTTCAAACTTTTTAGGTTAGACCTAATATATAAGGCCAAAAAGTTTAAAGTTCTCCCATTGGCTATCTAAGTAACGACAGGTGAACCCTGCCTGAGGGATCTCGGTGGTCATGGTGTCGATTCGGAGTCTGCCGCCTCCGGCGGCAAGAATTCCAGGGCAGCGTCCCAATCCAGCCGTGCTCTCTTCGGACGCTCTCCCAGCATCGTCAGGCCCTTCAAGGATCGATTCCGAGTTTCGGGTCTCAGGGTTTGGGTTTGGGTTTAGGGTTTAGGGTTTAGGGTTTAGGGTTTAGGGTTTAGGGTTTAGGGTTTAGGGTTTAGGGTTTAGGGTTTAGGGTTTAGGGTTTAGGGTCGGGTGAAGTCTGGAAACAACATCGTCATGTATGGGAGTTGGCATGCGGCTTGGGTTGGGAAGGGGCTTGATCCGCAAGGCTGTTCAAACCGTCTTATGGGGTTCGAGGCTTTCTTCAGGGTTGAGCTTGCATCCTTGGATGGAAGATGGCGGAGCTGTACCATGCACTGGAATAGGCAACACATGCACCTGAACCCGAACCCAAACCAACAAGGCAAACCTGAGCCGCCTGATGTTATGCGTGCAGGGACGGTCACTCGAAACTGTGGGGCAGGATCCAGGGCTTGGATGTGGGTTTAGAGTTTAGGGCGGCATCACTCTCAACCCCAAACCCTACTGGCAACTGGCACGACTGTTTCGAACTGCTTTGGGCTGAGCTTCCTCCTCAAAGCCTCGAAGCCCTAAAACCCACTAGCCTAAGTCTTAAACCCTACCCCCGCACCCCCTCCCCACCCCGCAACAAAAACAGATGCCATGAATTCCATCGCCCGGCTTAAAGGGTCTGGACGCTGATTTCAAGCCTATTTCGTTGAGAGTCCAGGGTTTGGGGCTTAGGATGGTAGGTTTCTCGGTGCTTCCGGGTGTAGGAGATCATCCATGGTGAGGAACTGCACTGTACGTCCTACTTTGCAGACTTAGGTTATGCAGGAGTTTGTCCATACTGCCGGCTGCGAATGACGCCATATTTTTGGCTATGGTGACAGTTGCTAACTTCGTTCTTGAAAGGCTTACTGACGCTCCAGATCATAGGCAGCGCGGTGATAATGACATACGAACAGCAACAGCAAGTAAGCCTTGTACCTTGACAATAACAAATCTGTCTGCCGAAAATACAGCCAATACAAGACAGCGCCGACAACACTGCCAATGTAACAGCGGGACAGCCCTTCGATACGCACAAGAGCACTTATGACCCTAACGGTGGCAGAAGAATGAAGCAAGTGTTTAGGGTTTAGGGTACTCCCAGTCGCAAGAAGAATGCGAGTAGCAAACGGACAATCCCCTAGCAGCAATATCGACGAACAGCCACATGCAAAATGACAATGGTAGCAACGGCTAATTACTACTGAATTCAAGGGGCTACTCAAGCAAGAGAGCTTAGGAAAAGAAGCAGCGCAACCACAAGGACATCAACCCTGAACCCAGAAGCCCAAACCCTGACTCCGAAAGCCTAAGCCCGAAATCTCTGCAATATAACGCAATATATCATAACATGACATAGTATAACATAAAGGTAGCATGATATAACACACTTTATTACAACATAAGAAGCTATAAGATACTATAGCGGTAATGTGGGGTTTCCGACAATAAGGGACCCCGATATAGTACTCCAAATAGTAGGATCCTTACTATATGGACCCCAAA